TGCAGTAAGTGATTGTTAGTTTAGGATTAATAAGACACACTAATAGATGTTTCTGCATGGCAGTGAGGTACCTTAGGAAGGAGGCTTACGCTGGCTTAGTGCAACTTTACTAATTTTTCAGTCTCATTCGCCAATGAATTCATGAATTAAGGAGCTTGAGATATGGTTTATAGGTACAATGTATAAACACCAATGTTTTTTGAAACGAGGAACAACTCTATTCAGTTTTTGCCTATATATCAATTTCCAGTAATTTACAGCAATGAGAACAAAAATGTTTCTTTTTCTTATGAGTCTGCAAATTAGCTGTGGCTCAACCAGTTCCAACTGGATTTTCCTAACTCCACTGAGCTAGACTCTAAGCCTTGAGTCCAATTTAGGTTTGCTTCACAAATCTTCTTTTTCCTCCTAAGGCCAGCAGTTATGCCACTACTTAGAAGTTGTGTGTCTTATAATAAAATCATAAGAGCATTCCTGTAATCCCAGCATCCTGGGAGGCTGAGTGTAATGGTAGACACATTGTGTCAACTTGAGAAGTTTAGAAGTTCTAGAGTTTAGAAGCTCAGGGGTGCAGTCCCCTGCCTGGAAAGCACAAGGCCCTGAGTTTGATTTTTGGTACCAGAAAAAAAAAAAAAAGAAAGAAAAGGAGTTTAAATAACCAACTCAGCAGGGGTCCAGGGTCCTCACTTTGTAAACATCCTCATCCTGTGCAAAAGAGGGCAGGGAGATGGTGTGAGTGCTACACCCGCCCTGGTGGAGGTGGGGCGCTGCTTACAATATAAGGGAGGAAAAGAGGCTTACTCCCCTCCCCCTTTTGCTCTAGCTGCTTTTGCTGACTTGTGCCACCTTGAGGTGTTGCCCCTGTGCCCTGCCACCCTGCCTTGGAGCCAGCTGATTGTAGACTGAAACCTCCACAAACTGTGAGCTAAATAAACCTTTCTTTCCTTAATTCTGGGCATCAGGTATTTTGTTTCAGCAAGGAGAGAAAAGTAATTTCAAGCACAGCCTGAACAACTCAGTGACTCAGTGAGACACTTTCTCAAAATAAAACATTAAAAAAGCGCTGGGGACATAGCTCAGTGTAGAGGCCCTGCATCCACTCCTCAGTACTACAAGAACAGCAGGAGTAATTGTGTACATGTATATCATCAGGGTACCGTAAAATCACAGAAGGGTGAGTGGGGCACAAGAGCACAGAGGCTGCATCCCTAAACTACCACACTGACATTTCCACCCATCCCATTGGCCAAGATCAGTGCAAAAGGGAAGTAACGCCAGCCACTATGAGCTACCGTGTGGTTCCTCTGGCCTAGGGTACTGAAGCGTAATTGTCCAGGGAGGGGCCAAAGAACTGGAAACAGTAGTTCAATCTGCTTGAGTGACCTTGTTAGATAAGTTTCTAAAAAATAACTGTAACTTGTGGGGAAAGGGGAAATGTGTTAAAAGGCATCAAACCTTTTTGCGACGAGAGAAAGAAAGGAAGAGAATGAAGGAAGAGAAAGGATGAGATAGGAGAGTTGTGATCAGAAATTGGAAAGTTTAGTAGCCAATGTTAGTGTATTACACAATTTCAAAATGAGCGTGGGCCCAGTTTGGGCCGTGGGGGCAGAAAGAGAATTAAGAGTTTTTGGACAGCTACTATATTCAAGCTGCTGTGCTAGGCAGTTTATATCCCCTGTATCATATTATCCTGACAGTATTTGGGGCAGACATTTGCTGATTTTAGAAAAGAGGAAACTGAGACTCAATGAGGTATGTAAATTACCAAAACCACCCAACGAGTAAATAGCTCTGCTGGGCTGGTCTGATCCTAAAGTATGTTCTGCAAGTAGGGAACTGAACTAAAAGACAACTTGAAAATCAAAGTTACGGGATTTGTTGTCTTCATTGGGTGGGATGGTAAACAGAAAGAGGGAAGATGATCCTGCACTGTCGGACATGGAAAATACTGGAGGAGAGTCCGGTTTTGAGCTGAATGAAATAAATTGTTTTTACTTCGATGGATGCTATCTATAGCACTTCCCCATGAAATGTCCTAATATTTTTAGAAAATTGTATCTTTGCACTTAGGAAGTCCTTGAAAAATAGTTCCACGAATAAAGGCAAAAGCATTACAGGCATGGAATATTATATTTGCAAAGATACAACTGTGCCTTGCATAGACCATGCTTGGGGAAGGGCCAGCCATTTAATGTGATGCTTAGACATGCACATGTGTTCAGTCATGCTTATTAAGGGACACAGAGCAGAGTAGTGAGAGATTAGGTTGGTCTTCATTACCTTTACATGCTGGAATAGGACATTTGGTCTTTCCCAAGAAAAAGTCACTCTGGGTTTTTGGCCAAGGGTTGACGGACTTAAGAGCCCGGCTTTTAGGAGGACTAATGTAGTAGCAAGAGAGAAGCTGAAGCAAAGCTGGGAGGCCCAGTGGAAGGCAATTGCATTAGCTTTGCAGGCGCTAACAAGAACCTACCCAGAGTGGTGGCAGGAGGAATAGAAATAAAGGAACAGATGGGAGGATTGCTTTGGAAGAAATTCTTGTGCAACACAGTAACCATTCTGCATATCATTAGATATGTGTCGGGTTAATTTTGTAACTTCATTTGGCCGACATGATTTCCTCTCCTCAGGTACGCAGAGCCTTCACAATTTATTGGTCATCTGTTCCCATATTTTTAATTAAGACTTGTAATTTCCATGAGAAAAAGAGAGACTATGTTTCGTTCCCTACTATTTCACAACACTGATTAAAATAGACAGTGGTTAAATATGTACCAAATGAGGGGATAGGAGAATTCTGCCCTGCATACGTCCAAATACCCATTTCTGGGGTCTCTTCACCTTTGTACTCTACCCTGCTCCTGCCTCTGATCCTTTCACCAGTGAATTCCCTCCTTCTGACCTCTTTAAAGTTCGTCTTTCTTTGTAGAAGTAACCAGATTGCTGAGCAGTCTGCATTCAGCAAAATACTAATGTAATTTTTTCTCAGTCACTGCCTTCAACCAAGCTCTATGGACTTTCTCTTTACTACTTCTTTACGTGATCTCCGACATGTCAATAACTTCCTGAGAGTGTAAACTATTTAACTTTCAGTTCTGATTCATTTGAAAGCTCCAGTTTTATTTCCTTCACTCCAACCTCCCAAAGTTTAGATTTCTCCTAAAGGACTAGCCCTTCTCCCTATTCTGAACTCTTTGGTAATGGGGCAAGGATTTGAGGAAAGGCAAGCTTCTTTATACTTAATTAGGGTTACCTTGCCTCTTAGGTGGACTAACAGAAAGACTTCCCTGCTAGGATGTTTATTTCAACTCTAGTGTTCTCTCTTCCTTCTTTCCTTTTCTCTATTTCTCCATGTCAGTTGGAGTATTTAAAATGTTTTCTGGGGCCGGGGTGATTGTTCAGGTTAGCAGAGTTAGTCTGACCACTTCTTTAAAAGTCCAAGAGAGTGTACATGGCCCTAATGACTCTGTAACTCTGTAGAAAATGAAGGTGTTGTCTATTCTATACCTTTGAGGCTCCAGTTTGGATCCTGGCTACAATTGCACATTCATAACATTCAGTTATTTGTGAATGCCACCAAACTTCACCTTGCAAACCCTGAATTGTCATTTAAATTTGTAGCTACTGGTGACAAATACTGAGTGTCATAGGAACACACTTAATGAGCAGTCAAAACGGTTCAGTCGGTGTAAAACCGAAGCACAGAAATCTAATGCAGTTCAGCCTCTAGTGCAAATATATATTGCGCTGCAACTTTAATCTAGGGGCCAGTTAAACCTCAAGATGGAAACTGGATTGGTGAGTGGAATAACAGGAGAAAGTAAAGGAGAAAAAATAACTTTGAAATGAAAAAATAAGTAGATTGAAAAATGAGAACTCTGGGTAGTGACAGAAAGTTTACCACGTTTCAGATTAAAATCTGAATCCCTGCTGCCCAGACTAATCTTTTTTCTGCTCACAAATCAGAATATAGATTTCCATATAGATTTCCATTAATATTTATCTGCTTACATTTGGAAGGAAGAGGAAAATCTATGTTGCATTTTGCCCGGGTTACTGTGCCCATCAGGAATTGCGCTGAAGGCTGACGTCAGTTGATGATATGGCGCTCTCCTTGTATTTCCTGTGTTAGACCTATGGCACGGCATGCAAAGTAGCATAAGTTTTAGAAGTGAGTCATTTCAAAAACCAAGAACCACAGATTCAACTAAAATTTCAAATAAAGGCTAAAGGACTAGAATAAGATTTTAAACCCAGAAGTTCCTCTTCCCAAAATTATTTGCACATTCCATTTTAAACCCAGAAACATTATGTTGCGGTCACACTTCTTTGTTCTCCTGAAGTATTAAAAAAAATTCTGTATATAGCTGACAAAAAATAGGAGCCTGTCTGCCAGCAAGTTCTCTACTCATGTCTAACATACTGTAGAGTCGAAGCAGAACACATGGTCTTAAAACACTCAAAAGCCTCTGCTTAACTGGCTTACCAGAGCAGCATGTTTCTCCAGCATGTTTGCACTACCTACAATACATGTCTTGCATAAGCACGAGTTCATTTTGAATGTTTAAGTCATGCAGTATTTTCACATGCTTTGATGCTGTGCATATGAGAATTATCATCTACATTTTGGAAATGCCATTCCTGTGCCTTCAGCATCAAATACCACTCAACCGACATGATTTTCAATTCCATCCAACAAAATGGCAATAATGTCTCTAACAGAAGTCTGACATATGTCATTCTCTCAACTACAGAGTTAATTTAGCAGCTAAATTAAAAATTTCTGGGTACATTTTTGAAAACTAATTCAGTGTGAAAATTATTAAAGACTTAGGATTGTACATAAGGCACTTTCTTCATCTTTATTCTCTATCCAGAAATATCTTACGCTTCTTAACAGATAAATTTGTGAGTGGCAAGATGCAGTCTGTTGTTGAAACAAAAAACACACAGTTTAAATCAACTCTAATGTGATGTTTATGATTTTTTTTTAATCACAGATGAGACCCATTGGGCACGATGGCTACCATCCCACCTCTGTAGCTGAGTGGCTGGACTCTATTGAACTGGGTGATTACACCAAAGCTTTTCTAATTAATGGCTACACGTCGATGGACCTGTTGAAGAAAATCTGGGAGGTTGAACTTATCAACGTAAGTTGGTCTTTCATTTATTTATTTCATTTTAATTATATTTGGCATTATAAATGTGTCTTTTTAAAAGTGACAATGGGAAATCGCTTCATCGTCTAGAAACTTTGCCATTCAACCCTTCATAAATGAAATTCTGCCACCAGCAGGTGATTTTTTTTTCTTTATAACTGTTTGGCCATCCAGCAAGGATTTACAGATATGTCTTGTGTTTTCAACATATCTCTAAGTCCCAGAGTCATTACCTTTTGAAGTTCTGATAGGAGAACAACTAAGATTAAAGAAGAGAGGCTTTTCAGTATGTTTTGCATTATCTGAAAAGAACCTTCCAAGCATTTTTGGGTTTTGCATTTTATGGAATTTTGACGTTTAGGCTATGGACCTAACAGCAAAGAGACCCTCACGCTCATTTCTGCCCCTATTCACGGTTAAAGACTCAAAGTGTCACTTTTTAGTTTTCTCTCTGTGTCACGTTTCCTTGTCTTTATTCCTCAGTTACATTTACTATCCTTGAAGAGTTTTCCCTTGCTCTTACTAAATAGACTGCTGTCAAATCAAAAATTGAGCTTCTGGACTTGGTATCCAATCATATGCTGCCATGCTGTACTTATACACTTAACATAAATGTCCTATAAAAAGTGGTCATCAATAGTTTATCATATATTCCGTCCAGAAAGATCAACTAAAATCTGCATAAAGATTTGGATGCCATTCTCATTTACTTCTGTTTTTCTTAAGGTCATAAGTGAAGGAACACGATGAAAAGATAACAAAATGATCACCGTTTTAATTATATTTGCCATTATAAATGTGTCTTTTTAAAAGCGACGGTGAGAAATCACTTAATCTTCTAGAAACCTTTTAGTTTTGTATCCTAATGATACTGTATAAAAGTATTCATACACTGAAAGACAAAGCAAATATTTGCTAGTTCCAGAGTGTTCCATTGTACTGTTTACACCACTCTTTCCAAAAGTCCAGATTCTGTGTGTTACATATCATTAATTATTTTAAAGGATGGTCATTATTATTATTAGCTGGTTATTCTTTGCTTTTGAAATTCTGTCTTAAAAGTAATATCTTTTCTAGCACACCTTATAGAAATTGTTCTTGAATCTAAAAATCAACTTGTCAACTAGGTTGCCAACTCTTGGCTTCTAATTTGCCATAAGTAGTTTGTTTTTTTTTTTAAACCTGGCAAAAGCTACCATTATCAGAAGAACCATGCTGTCTTCCTAAAGCCTCTGGGCAATTTCATCCTTAGTTTGTGACACAACAAAACTAAATGAAACTACTAGCTCTAACAGTTTCAACTCTCTACCAAGAACTTGGTGCTCCTTTACCTCGTGGCAACTCTGAGACCTTTGTTAAAGAGAATACCTTCCGCTGAGCGCCCAAACAAGTTTAGCAAGTTGAATCGCATTCTGGTGAATGGTAGAGTTTGACAAATATTCTTATGTAATTTCCTCTGTATAAAAATACTCCCCACTGAAGAACGAGTGTCTCCAACAGTAGCATGTGAGTCACTGACCTGCCTGGCATTAGCAGTAATTCCCCATTGAAAAGAATGGACTCCAGGGGCACTGTGTCAAGCCGTGTTTTTATGGAAAGAAGTATCATTTACAACATGAGATTCTGTGTGGTATGACCAACAAATACCATGGATGTTTAAAGTTTGAGAAATTATTCCAATAGATGACACATTGCCATCAATGCCCCTAAAAATATACACTCTTGCTATGAACACACTATCTCCTCATTCCTGCCATTTCTAAAGCAGTTCTGGAAGTCCTCTTACGTGTCTTTGGTTGTACTAGACTGCCTAGATGTCCTGAAGTGATTCAAAATGTTTCTCTTTCATGGTCATTTTGACTTTGGGAAGGAGCCATAAGTTGCATGTGCCAAATTTGGTGAATAAGGTCGATAAGGACACACCGTAATGTCTTTGACAGAAATTGCCGTGAGTGTTTGATCAACAAAGTATGATCGAAAACTATGGAGAATGTTTAAATTTAAAATGTTATTACAGTAAAAGGCACACTGTTTCAATTTTCCTAAAATGTAACACTCCCCCAGCTCTGAACACATTTATCCCATCATTCTTGGCAATGTGGCTTTTACTATAGTAAGTTTTTAATGTAAACCTTTGCCATATTTGTGGATCACCCTTTGTATGCCTCTCAAAGTCCAGATGCCAGATTTGAAAACTTGGGCTTCTGCCCTCTTCTGCCAATGCTAAAGGTACCAGTGGCATGGATATCCCTGCAGCAGGACATGTGGACAGCTCAGTGACTGCAAGGACAGTGATGCTGGAAAGCCCCTAGGCTTACTGTCAGGGCTTGAGAAGTGATCCCAACCAGCTCCAAGTTCCGACAGAAAAAGGGTCTTTTCCACCCACGCTGGTCCTTCCAGGACTTTCTCTTTAGCTACATTTGCTACAGTACAATCTTACTTTGATTCAGGGAGAAGTGCCTGTTACAAGCATTGTACCAGAACTTGAAAGCATAGTCACTGTGTTTTAGAACCTTAAGGCCAAACTCCTCTGCCTTGAAGTACACCATCTGTGTGTACCACCAAACCAGTAGATTTTCCTTAAAGTAAACTGAGTTTAAATTCCTTCTGACTGCTATATAGGCAACTTCACACAATTAATAGTAAAGCTTTAGAAGTCATTTTACTCAGTTAAATGTATTTTTGTGGACAAAAGCTGATTTGAACCTTTGGAGATGAGAATTAGAAAACCTAACTTTTACACCTACTAGAATCAGGTATTTTATATGCTGATTTGGGGTCATTAGATTTTGAAATAAGAAACAAGCAACATATGTGCTTTTTGGCTTACAAAGCTTTTGACTAATCTCAAATTCAAGGCTTTCATTTATCCGAAGTAACAGAGAATGACAAATTCAAGACTTGTTTATCTCAACTAATGAGAGAAAGCACCCAGCGTGAAGTAATCCCTTATATAATATAGTCTGCCAAAAAAGTACACATCAGGAAAAGAAAAACTTGTATAAATATTTTAATACTAAATTTATTGAGACATCATGAGATTAATACAACTCACCTTTGGCCTCTACAATTACTAGAGGGGCTCAAAATGGTGGCCGTTATTAATGTTTCCCAACATTTATTAGTGCGGTGAAATGCTGAAGTGTGCATACATTTTGTGGCAGACCCAAATAGCCAGCATTATTACCCATCATTTGTTGTTTTCTAGCCCACAGACAATGTACGTTCACCTTGATTTAAAATGGAGCCTTTTACAGCAGTTTTACATCTTGAATCACTGCAGAATAGCAAGTTTTAAGGGAGCAAAATTGCTCCACTACCTGCTCTCCTCTGTAAAGCGGAGAGAGAAGGTCAACCGCAGGATGTCTTTGATACAGAGGTCTGCCGGTAGACGGAGAGAATGCAGATTGAGGAGACTAGCAGTATGAGTATAAATTGTACATAACTTCACCTCCATTATTACTATAGGCTAAGCATCCAGAGTCACATGATGTTATGCTTGATATTAGACCCGTGCAAATATGCTGTCATGAGTATAATGAAGTTTATTCAAAATATTTCAAAGAGGACATGGAGACCATACACATTTCTGACTGGAAAAGTGCGTGTATGTGTGTATGTGCATATTGGAAGTTGTCGTCATTCAAAAAGATCCCAGAGAAGTACAATATTGCCTTTGAAAATCAAGGTTTGTGTGACGGAGCTACCCAAAATGTTGGTATGAGAGAGAGAAGTGGAACTCTTACCGTCAGCTTTGTCAGCGTAGAGAAGTTGTGCACAAAGAAACTTTTAAGGGGGCTGGGGATTTAGCTCAGCGGCAAAAGCGCCTGCCTGGCAAGCGCAAGGTCGTGAGTTCGGTTCCCGGTACCGGAGAAAAACCAAAAAAAAAAAAGAAACTTTTAAGATGTGAAGTTCTGCCAACTTACAGGCGCAGTGCGTCTCAAGTTAGAGCTTGAAATAAGGGCCAAGAATTGTTCCCTTTGTTCTCTCGTCTGCTTTTACTCAGAAGGGGATGTTTTACCAATAATGCTGTGCCTACCGCCATCATTAATAACAGCATACTCTTACTTTCATACTGATAGATTAATGTTAATAGAGGAGTACATCGGAAGAGATTGTCAGGCTCGTTGTTCCCTCTACAGGCACTAGCTGGACAAACCCCTAGTTTGAATTACTGTCCCTCCAAAGGCTTGTTAAGAGAACTAATGACTGGATAACAGTGGATAAGTACATTCAGATTTTTACAACTCATAGGTTACTCAGGTCTGGCATATGGTACTAATAAATTTTCACAACAGTTCTTACTGCTACTGACAACCTTAAGAATCCCCCATGAGAGAAGTTTTAGACAGAAGGGTGACATATTTTCTCCATGAGAAGATGTATGAAATGTGGATGAGTTAATTATAAAATTAAAAATAACTATCTAAGGCCCATGCAAACAACTTATTAGCCATTTTCTAGACAAAAATATATTAAAACTGTGAAAAACTATGTTAATTTCTTTCACAACCATGTATCTACTGAGGAGACTTGAGTAAGACCAAATAAATTTGAACACTGTCCAATTTATTAACTTGTGAATCTCAGTGCAGAACAAATGATTCATTTCTTCCCATTGGATTTACTGTTACTTACCAAAGAAAGGATTCCAGCGCAGGCTCATTATATCCCACCATACTGATAACAATGAAACTACCCATGGAATAAACACCATACAATTCAGGTTTCAGTGCATTCTTAAATCCCTATTCATAAATATAGAATGGCTCTGAAAGTCTACAGTGGTTGGTTGTCTTTCTTAAATACCTTTGGGTAGAAACAAATAAAATAGCTAAGGTAGCAATATCCGCATGTGTTCTATGAAAATTATTTCACATGTCCCATGGAAATAATTTGAACTCATTTTTGCAACAGTGAATTGATTAGAAGATCGTTTGCTTCTTGCCTAAGAGCTACTAAAACTATACATGTATTCATTTATGGTTGTC